AGATATTTCCAGTGCTCAAACACACAGGTAATGAAGCATTGGTAGGTGTGCTGTTCATGAATACTTTGAATTTTATTTGGATTTTGTTCAAATACATGTAATAATAAATTACTTTGAATAATTTCTCTGTTTTGTCCTCCTTCTTTCTACCTTATCACTCTCAAATTCTTCCACTCTGCAGAAAGACATAAATTTTGTTGGTTTTCTATTCCATCTATGTAGAGGTCTTTGTGTTGAAGTTGATCTGGACTTCATGGCTTCGATTCTTCCTACATTAATGTATTTACATTTGGATTTCTCCCATATATGAAAGCATGTGTACCTACTTTCATAGTGTGGTGTATAGCTTATTCTGCTCCAGGGCCTTCAGGAAGTGCTTTACAAAGGAAACTGTCACTGCATGGTTTCTGAGTGCTATAAGCTGTTAGTAAAAAGGTAGTGAACCAAGGACAGTTATAACAGGAGAACATGTCTTTTTCAGCTTGAATGAAGAGGCAGAGGAGCTGTAATAGAGTTACACCTTCTGTGTCACTCATTGTCATTTATCTTACGTGTTCTGATGCAGACACACTAGCTTTGAGTTATTCTGGATTTTGCCTTCAATCAAAGCGAAGTCAAGTACTTTTCAGCACTGAACGCTCATATGCTCTTGAAAGAGCCCTCTACAGCTCTGAAAAGAGGTCCACACCACATAACTATGAGGTTTTTCATCATTGAAGAGCTGTTGCAAGCAAAACAGTAAGTAAAGTACCTTAGGTTTTAGCAGAAATTTCTCTTTATCCTTGACAGCATAGATGCCTTGCCCCTGTTCAGAAGGATTCTCGTTGTGGTGGATGAATCACTATACTTAATTCCTATACTTTATCATTGAATTATGCTCAAAATTTTTAGTGGGCTGGTCTGGATAACACTATGGATAATGACTGACATTTCATCCTATTCCCTCTTCACCTGCTTCTACTCCTATGAGGATGCCAGAGAACATTTTTTTGTTGAAAGAAAGTAGACCACAGAGTCAGCATTTCTCCCCTCCATCCATGGACTTCTCTCATGATCAGGTGGAGATATTAATTTTTATCTCTAACAAAATGTGATAAAAGTATTAATTTTAAATTGATGTTAGATGTAATGTATGTAGATTTGGTTTGTCTATTGTTCTCTACTTTTACCTTCCCTGCTTATCTCATCTGTTCTGTGTCTGTGTTAGTTTAGATTGTAACCCTTTTGAAGGCAGAAATAAAGCATCTTATAAAAAATGTCATCAATATGTACTGAATAATAATGATGATGTAGCTGGGAGATCAAGTACTTCCTCATTGTTATCATTCCCTCTGTGTTTCTATTAATGTTTGCCTTGTAATGTACATAATTTCAGGTTTTTTCCACTATGGCCATTTATTTAAGCAAGTTTTCTGCTAAAATATTTACAAGGCAAGTATTTCTCTGCTGTTTAACAGTTTAATGCATGACACTATTGAAATTAAGGGGAAACTACTAATTCAGGATAGACCTGTGTTTGTTTAAATTATTAAAAATCATCATAAGTTTATGCCTTCTTTATATTCAGAGTCTTCCACTTTTTTTTTTCATGTGTTTGCATGAGAATTCTTAGATTTTGCTGGCACTGGAACTGGCAGCACCAGAATACCCCGATAAGGGCGTTTGTGCAGTACTTCCTGTCTTGCCAAAGCCAGGAAGTGCTAACACCCCTGCAGAAATTTCACAAGCTTCATGGTCCAAAGCTGTTCAACAAAGCCACCAGCTTTCTGGATGCTAAATGCTAACTGACATGGAGGTTTTTTTTATATTTGCCTACCATTAGCACTGTACCTAAAATGATGCCAGTTTGTCCTCTTGAACTGTCGGCTGCCCTTGAAGACTATAACCCTTTTTTATTCTTTCAGTGGCATAACCACAGCTCACCAGCTTCCTTGCACTTTTTATCCAGTGTATCCCTATCCATTTCATGGTAAACTATGAAATAAGCATCTCAGGAAGTCACACTTAGTTTAGGCTGAGCTTGCTAACTCTTTATGCTGTGACCAAGGTAGGTCACTGGCAAGCCAGTTAGGATGAGGCACTGTAGAAAATCTTCCATAAGTGTAAAACAGAACTGTCAAACATGATGGTTTGGAAAGGAAAATATTTCTGTGCAACTCTCTTTTCCCTACTTTGTACAAATAATGTGCAACGAACTATGTTCACGTGCTGTGAGTGTACAGCTATTGAGAAAGGGCAAACATCCCAAGGAACCTTTCTTAAGGAAGAAATGGGTTGTGAGAATTCAGAAGTCCGTGGCAAATTACTGTGAACACTAGTGCTGATTATAAATGTTTATCAATAAGACTTATAAGACTCTTATTCTGAAAGAGGTTTCATGGAGTTATAGGCTATGCAAAACGCAGGACGATCCAATATTTTAGAGCACTGGTTTTTACCTTTGCATGTAAGACAAGACTTGATAGCGAGATCATTATACTGTCTATCTGAGAGTACATATTGCAACTTCTTTTTTTAACCCAATAAATTAGTGTTTCATCTCTCCACTTGAGAGAGTCAGGTCCAATTTATGTGTTTGTGAGCATGTTTAAGTGAAAAGGGAAAGAGAACATTCTTAGGTGACAAACTTGCAAGGGAAAACAGTTCTTTCTTTATAAGCTCTGCCCCCATCCCCACCTTTTTCATCTATATCAGAAACCAAACTCTGGAACCAAGAGCAAAAGAGCCTGATGGTATACTCCCTGGAGGAGGGAGTCATTACAACAACACAGGAGACTATAACATCACAGTGAATGACACAGAGGAAAGAAGACAATTTTTTCCATCCTGTGTGAGCTTAGGTGCATAAAGCAAAAGCCTACAGCTTTCTGGGATCCTGTGCTCCATCTTTATGATAGTCAGTATATTCCCAGAGGGATGGAGTCCAAAGTCTATTACATCAGCTTCCTCTTTATGAGTAAGCTCTTTATAAGTTGTCTGCTTAAGCAGATTTTCTTTATGAAAGTGCTATCTTATTCCCTCACTTTTTTCATATATAGCAAGCATCTATATTTTTAAAACCTAAACAACCTTAGCATAGGTGGCCCCATAGGTATCTCTGATCCCTCAGCCATTTAAAGTAACCTAATAGGAATGGAGTCAAAGCAAAGGATCTGAGATGGGGAGACAAACAGTAGACGAAGACAGCAGCATGGACATAGTTGTGGAAGTAAAAGTAACTGGGCAACTATTGCACCCACGAAAAGGACTATTCATAAGAACTGGATCATCAGGCACAAGGCACGGCCAAATGACCAATGTCAAAAGCTGCATAATGCTTACCTTTTAACAATAAAATAAATGTTGCTCATGAGAAGATATGATCCTTCCTAAGCAACGTTCGCAGCTTCCTGAATGTACAAAGGGAAGGAAAAATTGAGACACAAAAATTGACTTCTGGATTTGAACCATGTCATGATCAAATGGCAGACTGAAGAAAGGTCATTATGAAGGTCTTATCTCTGAGCAGCTTTATGAGCAACTGTGAATGAAGCCATGTCTTATCTTTTCCTTTGATAAACTGAAGAGGCTGAGCTCAGACGTGAAGTCAAATATCAGCTTTCTTCATGTAAACACGTAATTCCTTGTAATTTTAACTGCTCTGTTTGGAAAAAGTCTCCTCCCTCTTTTTAGGCCTTTTGATTCCACCATCTTTGACCAGACCCCCTCATTTCACTTGAAGATGTCCATGGTAATTTACGCCAACGAGAATACCCACATACATACGCAAATGTGCTAACATGCTCCCAGTTGAGTCGGTTCATAGACATATTTTTCAAAATGACTGCATTTGCTTTTTTAGGAATGTCTTCTCCTCTAGTATCCTACTGAGAAATTGGTTTAAATCTCTGTCTTAGTATGTCCTGCTAAGAATTTAGTAAAACTGGAAAGAAAGAAAAAATGGTGTTTAGAAATAAAAAAGAAATTGAAAGAACAAAGCAACCTATCCACTGATTTTAGAACCTGTATTTTAATTGGAGATTTTTTATCCTAATTTTTTAATTTTTTGATGGAAGTTTTGACTGGTAACAAGAATCTGTGCATTGTACTAAAAACTTACAACCCTGGTTAAAACCTTGTATAAATATATGAATAGATATATAATGAATTTGCTTAGTTCTGTTAAATACTTATGTAAATATATTATTGACAATTATTAATTTCAGTTATTTTAATTATTCCGTTTTTCAGTTATCTCGGATTAATTTTCTTTCCTTCATGGGTATTTTGAATACTTAATTGAATTCTGAGATAGGGAATATATTCAGGGTTGGTCAGAAAACACACAGTTAATAGTTAAAGAAAATTCTAAAATGTATGATATGCAGCACCAGTGATTAAAACAAATAATATGAAAGAAAAATATGAAAAGGTAGAAGGGATGAATAGAAATCAAATGTGTCAGTTGCTTTTCATCATGGTCTGCTGTCTCTTTAAATACGAAGAAATAAGGAACAAATTTTATTTAGAATGCAAAGATGATGTAATGTCCCTGCCCATGGCAGGGGGTTTGAAATTGGAAGAGGTTTAAGGTCCCTTCCAGCCTGAACCATTCTGTGATTCTGTCATCATGGTGGTATGTGGAAAGACCAAAATCTGGAAGGCCAAAATCTGGAAGGCTTATAGAAAACATAATTTAATGGAGCTGATAATATGTCAGGCAATGTGCAGTGCCGTGAGACCTTCAGGGTGCTCCGTACCTCCAGTGGGACATCCCAGGAGCGAGGAGCACCTGGCACTTTGCTGCACCGAAAGTTTCAGACGTCAGAATTCGAATAAAAACGGTTGAAATTGTGTTTCTCCGAGTATGTCGGTGACGGTATCGCTTGGGAGAGGGCTTTTGCCGTCGACAAGTTCCTGTGTTTCCTACATGGAACAGGCAGGTCCTTCGGCCCTGGATCCCGTCCCGCGCCCGTTCCCGTGGCTGAGCGCCAGGGGGCGCCACCGCGGCGGCTGCGGCCATGGCGGCTGCGGGCTCGTGTCCTGCGGGCCCCGTGTCCTGCCCGTGTCCTGCCCGTGTCCTGCGGGCCCGTGTCCTGCCCGTGTCCTGCCCGTGTCCTGCGGGCCCGTGTCCTGCCCGTGTCCTGCCCGTGTCCTGCCCGTGTCCTGCGGGCCCGGCGCTGTGGCAGGGCCAGGAGCCCCACCAGCGCCACCCGTGAGGCGCAGCCTTGCACCTCCCTCAATGCTTTCCCCAAGCGCACCCGCACATACGGGGAGCCGGGGGTGTCGCTGGCGCTGCGACCCCCAGTCAGGGGTTAGTCCCCACTGTCACACCTGGCCAGAGACAGCTCCTGAGGGAGGCTGTTCTTGAGGCGTCAGGAACTGGTGCTTCCCTGAGCATCCACATTGTCCGCATGTGGCTTTTTCCAAGACACTGCTGCGCCTGCCTGGCAGGGCTGACCTACGCTCAGAACCGTGTGTGACATTCCGAAAATTCTGCACTACGGCCGTTGTCACACATAGTGGTGTTTCCTAGGTTATGTAGGGAGTCCAAGGTTGTAAATGAAGTAGAAATTATAATAAACTAAAACTATAAAACCTTTGTGAATTCCTAACATATTTGATCAGCCAGTATTAAAGCATGAAAATACAAAACTATAAATCCTAAAGATGATGGTAAGGTTTAGCAGACACTTGCTAGTCTCTAAGTCCTCTGAGAAAAAATGATTAACAGTCTTCTTTGCTAGAGATGTGTTGACTACAGCTCAGACTTTGGCTTATTTATTTACAATTTTTAGGTCCCCTAGGAACATATGTTTGGAGGTTTGATATCTTTGTGTCTCCCCTAGTGAAAACAGAAGCAAAAGTGCTTTATAAACACCAAATTATAAAAAAAAAAGAGTCAAAATTCATAAAATGATGCAATAAATACTGCTAGCATCTGACAGAAATATTATCCCACAATCAGTGAGTACTTCCTTAAGTTTCTCAGTGAATTAAAGCCCCAGAGACCAGAGCTGCAAATGCAATATTTTTATTTGGATAACATTCCACCAAAATAAATACAGATTGGTTTATAAAGAGTTGTTGTGAAACACAAGATCTGGAAAGGATTTTAAATGCTAAGCACATTTTGCTGTCTGTCTGAAAGACTTTTCTGATACAACAGTGTTTCTGACAGGCATGAAATCCTAAGAAAGGGAGGAATGATATTAAAATGAGACTGATAGTTTTGGAAACAAGAAAGATACAAAACAGTTAAATCTACATGTGAGAATTCAAAGCTTTTATTGGTGTATTCTCTTATTTACATAAGGAACAACAAAATCATTAAGCTGGTCCTAACCGGAAGAACTAGCCTTGGAAACAGAAAATCCAGAGTTATTTATGGTTTTTTTTCTAATATATATTGTTATTTTATTTCTATTATTGGCAACACAATTTATGTCCTTTATAATCTTATAACAATCACATAGACCCTCCACATCCCAGTTTCATGTCTGTGAACGCACTCAAAAAATGGGTTCAGAAAAGTATTGTGCAGATAAATCAAAAAAACACTGTGACATCACAGTACAGTAGAAGGATGGGATATAAACATCCTAAATGTTTATAATTAAATGAAAAAGGGGTTGTCTTCTCTGTTACACTAGCATGTAAATTGGCATGTCTTGAAACAGCACAAAATGGACCAAGAAGAATCTCAGTTTATCATATTGACGCTTTTCCTCTATTGATTCTCAGAAATAAGAAAAAACTTTTTAATCACCTAAGAAATACACCATAACTGGGACATCTAGCTGGGCCTTGCTCTTAGTTCCACAAATTCCCATCAGCATTACCATTACTCTCTGCCAAACAGAAAAATAAATGAAGTTGCTCAACTTTGCTTTGTCAGTGTTGCATGACTTGAGGACTATTTCAGCAGGGAATGTTGGGGCTTCCACAGCAGGGTTATCAGCTAATATGAATCACCCCATCTGAACTGAGAAGCTGGTATTTCATCTAAACTGAAGAGATGGATTCAAAGCCAAGGAGAGAGCTTCCATTTTTACAGTAGATCAAGGGTGATGACACTTTAATGGTTTTTTGAATTATGCAGTAGAGACAGTCACCTATTGGCTCTGAGGATGTATTGCACTGTGTCAATTTGCATGTACCGGAAGCTGAGTGTCCAGCATTTACAAATAGTTTGTGATAAACATGATAAATTGTGAATGAAGCTCAAATACATGAACTAATTCAAAATGGCAATGTGTTCTGGTCCTTTTGTGACTAAGATGTTTTTTCTGTGTACAGAAAATCAAATAAAAAGAGCATTGATAAGAATATGTTGAGATACATACTTTAAGTGTTTGGTTCACTTGGCAAAGGATTTTTTAAAGTTTATGAAAGTGCCCTATTCTCTAGTTCCATTAAATTACAAACTTAGGACATCAAAAATGTAGAACCTAATATGGTATATTTCATTAAAGGTAAGTTGCCTATGCTCTTGGACTTATTAATGTGCTTTCTTAAGGAAATAAGGCTCGTGTAATTCTTTTGCCTACTCACCTCCTCCTTCAGCTTCCCTTACACCTTCACCCTCCCGATTGTTGAAGCCTTCAGGCAATTTCAATGAAAAGTGATGTTGGAGCAGAGAGGATGGCCCTGAAAGCTGCATGAAAATCAGCAGCTCGGAAAAGGTGAGAAAGTTGGTGTCCTGCTTGAGAGCCCGGCAGGTGAGGTTCAGCCTGGGCCATCTGGCCATCCAGCACTCGAATTACATCAACTAGCTCGTACCTGGGACTGCACAAGGGTGTGAGGCAGCTGAAGGTGTTGCTGTGGGTGATGGAAGCAGTAGGAGGAGTTTGAAACATTTGAAAGACTTATTAGACACTATATAAGCTGTAGAACTTGTCTAAAATAAAATCGTGTTTGTACTGGAAGGTTAACATCTCATGATTTGGAATAGTTTTATTAAAAAAATGGGAAAATTTAGAGGTATTTTAGAATAGAAACCTGAGGGATGTATCCTTCACTTGCTTAAGATGTGCCTAAAGACAGTGAAATATGTCCCGAAAGTCTGTAGAAATAAGATGTTTGTTCTCTAAGTTAATTAAACTTTTAAATTTTTTTTGCATGGCAGGAAAAAAAAAGAGTTTGTTTCAAATTATCTACAAATATTTAAAATCAAAGTTTGAGTTCTATCAGGACCAACCGTGGCTGGTTGGTCAAGACGGCAAAAAGACACCCAAAATTATTCTTATTTTGCTGCAGCCAAAGCAGGCTGTGCTTGGTGTTTGGAAAGAAAAGAAGGAATGACAAATACTGCCCTGAAACTGAGATGAGAAAATTAAAAGGGAATGAAAGAATTGTAGCTGATCAATATTTTATAGAGGTACAATTATTCTGCTCCTTGTTCATCTGCTTGCACAGCGAAGACTGTATTGCTAGAGACACTCCAGGGTAGTTAGGAACTGCATGGGATGGAAGTTTCTGATAAATAATTTATGAATAGAAGTGGGATTCTTAACTATCTCCACCCTAGAGTGAACACGCTCCTATAATACACCTCATTTTTGCCATTAATGAGAAGACTATTTACATAAAATGTACATGTACTAAATAGATCTATAGAACTGGACCAACAAGAGGTGCCTCACAGGTTTCACAACGAATGCTGAAAAAAAACCAATTCCTTTCAGTATGCAATCATCTCTATTAGCTGGGCATCATAGGGTAGAGTAAAGGAGAATATAGAAAACATAGAAAATGAGGTGCTTATGTGGCAAAGAATTCTCCCAGACCTATCTAAACACAAGACAAAGGTTATTGCTGGTAATCAGTGTACCCAAATTCATGGTGATGTGTGTAGCTGCAAACACAAACTGTTTTCTTGAGCAGTCCAGTGGCATTTTTTGTGAATGTCCATTGCCAATAATGGGAGCATTGCCTGGTGCACATGAAACCATGAAAGGGGAAGCCCAAATGCAGAAGCATGCTAAATGCCTGTATGTTAATGCCAGATAAATACTTCAGTTGGACAATCTTAGAATAGTTTATAGCCCTGTAGATTTTACAAAAGTGAATTACAGAGACTGCAGCTGTCAGGAGCAGCTGAGCTGGTGCAGTGCATGGCTCAGCTGTAAGAATAAACAAGGGCACACTACATTCAGCAGTGTTCCAGGGAAATGTTGTTACACCAGGAAAGCCACTGTAAAAATATAGAATTATAGTCACTCTGTTGAAATAAATATTTAAGAATTTACTGAAAGAGTTAATAGCCACTAAAGCCAGAGAGTTGATTTAATTGATGGCAACAATCAAGTGCTTTTCATCTTGGTGGCCCATTAACAATGGCCGTTTATTTAGCCTTTGTGCTTGAGTGTGGCCTAGTGCGACCTGAATTGAAGAGTCTTTCATTTGTGTTGCAAAGCAGTCAAGGCCGTATGCTGGGGCTAAGGGTGGCATTACAACAAGGAGGTTTTGCAAGTAATTGGAACAGTGTGTGTTAGGGGGCGTGGGGAAGAGCAAAGAAGTTACTGGTGGAGTACTTAAACCTAGCTGCATATCTGTAGCTCTAATATGCAGTTTGAGGATGTAAAATAGATCCGTGGCTTGTTAACATTTGTATGTGAATTAGGACGCAGTACTTGGCTTCTCCGCATCCAGAAGTGCTGCACTGCCGCTGCTTCTATTTGTTTTAGTCCTCTTACGTGAATTGCACTAGGCAGATTCCTAGCAAGTGATTTTGGTGCCCTGTGTTGCCTACAGACCAAACGCACAAGGCAGGCAAAGAACTGGGTGAATGTTTGACAGTTTGCAAATGGGAAGTAAGGCACAGGGTAGTTCAGCGACTTGCTCACCCTCTCACCCATATGCTGTGGTACATCTGGTTTTGAAGAAAGATATCCCAAGACACAAGTTAGTATCTTAACAAAAAAAAAAAAAAAGTTGTTCAAATATTCCTGACCGTGTCAAAATAATAACGATTGCAGCATAAACATGTCTGTCTCTTTCAGCTTAACCAGTGCAAAGATCCCAGCTGGTGCAGACTACAGCAGTCCACTAGGTTCCTGAAGTGAGATGGTTTAAATAGATTTCCCTCCTATTCTGCATTGCATTTGACTTTTTCTGCCTCAGGGTAGAACTCTAATGTCTAAGTTAATCTGTAAAGCATAAATGGTCTTTCTCTTCCAACACTCTTAGAGTCAGTGCATAACTAGTGATTGGCCCTAAAATTCCTCTGACATGGCAGCACATAAAGTGCTTCTCAGGCTTTTGCAGCAACAGCCTAACTGTGTTTTCGTAATATTTTAATCACTCCTGACCACAGAGAATATCTATGATAAAGAAGTAATGTAGAAAAAAGTAGCATTTAATAAAGTTCCATCAATAGTCAATGAACTCTGGCCATAAGCAAAATTATGGATTTCTGTTTTCCCTAACATTCACAAAGCCACAGTATCCACATTTGTCCTAGTGCAGTTTGTAGGAAGTCATCTTTTTACTCTGTTGAGTATCTACACGCTTTCAGAACACACTTCAGTGTACGCCTTCCTTTTTCATCCTATACTTCGTGTGGTGCATAAATGGGGGAAGCATTTTTAACCTTGTGAGTATTTAGTTATGATGACAAGAGTTAGTACCACCAGACGGCACAAACAGTTTCAGTTTAAAAGTGTTTATTTGCCCTTGCAATGAACATAGAATAAGCAATTAAAACCAAACCTTTCCATTAGTATGAAAAGTTAAGAAATTAGTCATTTGGTTTAAAGTTTCTTCTGCAATGCCATCCTGTCTGTATTGCACAACTTGCATTCATATTACTAAGTTGGCTGACTAATGAACATATTAAAAAAACAGAAGCAGAGATTGCCTTGAGTGATGCTAAATTTGATTTTTTTGGCCCAAAAATTCTTCACTGATTCCTTCGTAATACAGAAAACATCTTAAATATAATTCTAAAAAATGAAAACAAATTCTGTAACTGAGGCTCATACAAATGATTCCAATAAAATAATTACATTTTCTAACCTCATTTTAATAAAAACTCAGTATTATTTGCAAATTCTCATTAACCATCAGTGGGATCACTACACTGTAAAAGTTTGCAGTATTAAGTTCCAGGCTTATTTTTAAATTCAATGATAAATATTACACTATACATTTTGAACTTCTGTAATGACAGCTTAGCAGATATTCCAACGGAAATAGATCTTTAATCAGAAAATATTCTGGTTGAAAATGGAACCAAATCGGTGTCATCATTATGTTAACAGTGAAACAGGTTTGGTGATGAGATTAAGCTTTAGAGCAAAAGACCTTGTTTGAGAAAGTTCTAAGTCTCTGCAAGGAGAGACTGAGAAGGAACTTGGAGATCAGCTTTAGCTGTTGCAGTTGAAATCAAATACTCTCTTAGCCAGATTTCTTCTTTCATCACTTTCAGGAGCCGTTGTGGCAGAGTGTATTGCTGCTCCTCTTGCTGGCAGCCATCAGCCATTCTCAGTAACTTGACACAACTAAGCTGGAGACTGTTGCAGTTGTAAAGGCTGGAGTGATATAGGCTGCATTTCTCCTTATTTCCTAAAGATTTTTTCTTCTGGATGCTTCTCTCCTTATTCAGGATTACACAATGTACTTGTGACAACCACAGTTGCTGTTTACATGAAGAGGGATTCTAGAAAAACACTCTTCTATTTCCAGATGGCTTCAGTATAATATGTTTTCTTTCAGATCTCATTCTTTCCTTCTCCTCAGGAGAATCCTTACAAAATGCATTCATCATTTACCAGTCTTTATTTCTTCTTCTTGCTTATACTGTTTTTGTCAGAAGGAGACTAAGTGTACTGGCACCCGAAACCTGTCAGCTTATGAGAGGCCAGCACTACATTCTTTGTAGTTCAACCAAGAACTTCAGACCACAATCTGGCAGTTCTCAAAGCAGTCTATAACAGTATCCTCACGTATCTGGGCTGTAGCAACACATTTCCCCATGAAGCTCTGAAACTTCATTTCTGCTATCCTCTGACCATGCGCTACCTTGGAAATATATTACCATATTACCTCACATGGTTTAGAGATAATTGCAGCCTGTATGCTTTTTTCACTGCATAAATGCCACCAAACAGAGGACAGCTGATTTTGACCAAGGCCATTTCAGCTTCCCCAGATACACATTCTTAACCCCCTCAAATACCTGATATTTCTGTTCTGCTCAGCTTTTCTCTAAGTTTAATCTTTGTCCCTCCCACAGAAAATTACCATTGTGGGCACAAAAACGTACCAACTTGCATGCTTTCTGTGTTCATCCTTCTTTTCAAAGTCATTCTAGCCCTGTGTTAACAATAACAACCAAAAAAACCAACCAAAAAAAACCCCACACAAAACAAAAAACAGTCAAACCCCAAAATAAAACCAAAAAAACCACCTAAACCTAACCAAAATTCAAAAGCTCCCATGCCTTTCCTGAAGAAAAAGCCTTTTCCTAAAGATGCAACTAGTTTCTTATGCGTGGACCATAAAGTGCTTACAACTTTCTTCCCTGGAAAAAAAAAACTTTTAAAGCGATCTTAATGGCTGGCCAGGAGAGCTGCAATGTCATTTGCGTAATTGTCCTCTGCTCAGCTGGAATTTGGAAGAATATCTGCAGTTACCTCTCATTGCTCAGGCTGCACTAGGGATTCATGGCTGCACAAAAGCTGCCTTTGCTATCGCTCTGGGATGCTTGCACATCCTTGAGGTTTTTAATCTTTCTTTCCACTATTATCACATTTAGTTTGGCTGATACTAATAGACTCGGGAGTTTTTGTTGACCTTATGTACATGTTTTATTAATCAAACAATGCTGCAAGACAAAAATGATTGTGATTAGTGTGACAAAGAAACGGCATCTGCCTAATGCTCTGACGATCAGTTTATCTTTGGTTGAAAAGAGATGGATTTGTCAGAAGTAAACCAGTGGACTAAGTTGTTTTTTTACAAACAACAGTGGACTATAGTGTGCTGCCAGTCCCCACTTCTAATGTTTGGGAAATTAGCTTTCAGACAGAAAATATTCAAGTGAAAAAATATAACTACTATTGACTAGAACAGGGATGTTTCCTGTTTCAGAATGAAGTGTACTCAGCACCGCTGGCTAAAAAGTACAAATTTAAGAATGTGCAATGGGCCAGACAGAGAATTTGGTCTGGTTTTGTGGTTGCTGCTCTGTAAACCGATTTTAGCACTGCAGTCCCTTTTGCTCCCAGCAGATAAATGGACCCTGTACCGCCAGGCAGAACCGAAGCCAAATTTGGTTTTCCAAAACGTACTCAATTCTCCCTTCCAGCCTGCGTCCTGCACCAGTGCTCGGCAGCGAGATGCACAAAGAGCGAAGGCGATAACAAAGCACAACCCGGCTAATTAGGTCAGAGCCGAGCCGGGCGCGGTGCGGTCACTGCAGTCCTTCTCCTTCTCCAGAACGTGGAAACCCCCCGCTCCGCTCCTGCCGGGCACCGCAGCTCTCGCCGCTGCTGGAGCGGCCCTTGAGCCGAGCAGCAACCCAACCCAGCGCAGCTACCCCGACACCGGGCCGGGGCTGAGGCTCGCCCGGGGCTCCCAGAGGGGCTAAGCGCCTCCCCTCGCCCCCTCTCCCCCCGCCCCTCCGCCAGCCCTGCCCCGCCGCCCGGCACCGCCGCCGCTGCCGCGCCGGCCCCGAGCGCTCCCTGCGCCGCCGCTCCGCTGCCGCTGCTGCTCCTGCTCGGCCCGGCCGGGCGGGGACTTGGCAGGAACTCCCGGGGAGAGAGCGAGAGTGCCTGCCCCCGCCACCGCTCCGCTGTGGCTTTTTGGGTGGAGGAGGAGGAAGGTCTGGGCTCGGCCGAGGAGCAGGAGCCGCCGCCGCCACCGGAGAGGAAGAGGCAGGAGGGAGAGAGAGAGACGGAGAGGCGGCTGGAGCCCCCCAAAGTACCCCCCCATCCCTGCACTGCAGGCTACATTTCCAGCTTCATGGGCAAAGTGTGGAAACAGCAGATGTACCCCCAGTACACCACCTACTACTACCCCCAGTATCTGCAGGCGAAGGTAGGGTCCGGCACGCCGGGCGGCGCGGCGCGTCTGGGGCTGGCCCCGCTCCGGGCGGCCGGCCAGGGCCGAACCCGGGCGGGGGCTCCGCGGCTGGGGAACGGCCCGCGGGAGGCGGTCAGGTTGCACCGGGGGACGGAGACAGGAAAGAGCCGGCAGCCCCTTCCTGCCGCCCGCCGCCGCCCCGGGAAAGCCTCCGGGAGCCCCCGCCGGGCTCCCACCCCTTCCCCTCGCTCCCGACCGTGCCATCTCCGACCTGACTCCTTCCCTCTCGCCTTCCCCCTCCCGCCGGCGGTCCCTCCTCTTCCCCGGGGCTCTCCGCCTGTCTCCTCCTTCCCAACCACGTCCTCGGCTACCCCGCCACAGAGTGGAGCGCTGCGGGCCCCGCTCCCGCTGCCTTCGCCCAGTGCAGCCCCTGGAACGCAGGGAGAGGACCCGAAGTTCAGGCGGCAGGGCCCGGCTGAGTCTGCCATGGCCGTCCTTCAGCCACCCTCGGGTGGGGGTGCTGTGACATCCCGAGGGATGGCAGGGCATGCTTGCTGCTGCGATGGGGATGGCTGTAATTCCAATTAAATACGGGCACTGGGGAAGCTGCTGGACTCGGGTGGATACTCATTGTCTGTGGAGTTGGACCTTTGTGAGCTGCCACCTCGCAGTTTTCGAACTGGATTAAAAAACGCATTAAGGGTCCAGCTCCTGATGGTTAATGTTGTACGCGGGTAGGCGGTGTTTGCAGGAATATTGATGTTAGCAGTTCTTGTGGTGGTGGATCTCCACCTTTTTTTCCTTTCTCCTTCAAGTCTGTAAGGGCAGCCAGCCCCACTGCTCTAGAAGCATCATGCTGCAAACTGGCAGATGCAGAGGTGGTTGCATCAGCTGTCTGGAACATTTAGCATAAGCCTTTCCAACCACCAGTGTCACTCCTCACAAATCAAAACAGACCCATATGAGGCTTCAATGTGTGAACTTTTTTTAGAGGTTATAGCCGTGGTGTGGGGTTTGGTTGTGATTTTTTTTTTCCCCTATTAAAGCATCTTGCCTTTTTGGCAGTGACAGGACAAGAATTCCCTTCCCTTTATCTGCACACTTGATAGGCTCTTCTTTTTATTGTGTTTGTGTTACTATATTGTGAAATGTATTTTTTACTGCTTGGCTGAAAAATAAATTCAGTTTGACGGTCATGAGACGTTTTACAAGGCAGCAATGAGGAGGCTTTGAAATGCGCGTTCACATATACAGAAATTGATAGAAATGTGATGAAGGTCTTTAGGTGATTTGAAATTACTAATTTCTTAAATGTCTAATCAACATCAGGCTAAATAGTACAGACTATAGCCATTTAAAGATTGTACTGCAGAGTAATCACTTCAGTGCTGTTTCCATATATATTTTGAATGCATTTTGAAGAAAGGTAGAATGCCTAAAGGACAGCCTTTTGCATCACTTAGCTTTATAACTATATAAATATTCTCAAATGAAACAAATGTCTTTATTCAGCAGCTTTTACCTTCATGGTTTTGTGTGGCAATAGTAAGTTACGAACCAAGTATATAACGTGGAATATATACAAAGCAATGTCGTTTGGCTGTTTTGACCTGTAAATAATTAAAGAGGGAGATAAACTGTAATAGCTTACAGTAGTTACTAGAGAATGATCCTAGAAATCCATGATCCTATGAGAAAGCATGGTGGACCATCTTTTGAAAATGTTTCCTGTACAGATAATTTAATATTGATTTGTATTACAGTCAATGACATCTTCAAAGCGTCTTGTAGTCTTTGCTATAAAATTATACAGCCTGAAATTACATTGCTCTGTTTCAGCAGAGAGAACACACAGCCATTTGACGTACACACATTAAATGAAATATTTGGGATCCAGTGGAAGTTTCCTGTTTTCATAGATCTTGATTTTATAAAAGAAATAAATGAAAAAAAGGTGTCTTCTTGGTATAGATAAAAGGACCAGTAATTGTAAGTTTTGATATTCAAGTATGCAGAATCCAGTAATACAAGCAATCTTCTCCCTTTGGATCCTCTCTGAACGTGTAGAAATATTAATTTAATTCATAGTTTTCAGCTGTTCTGTTCTTTGAGCCCTAAAACAGCCTCTTGTCCACTGCATGAACTATTTCAGTAATTCTGGAGAAATCTTTGGTTTTTATTAAAGACAAATGATGATAGAATTGAATAGCCTTTGCTGAATGAATGATGGGTAATGGTACGTGATTACACTGGGGGAGGTAGGAGATTTTGAAACCAGAAGTTTTGCTTTTTATTTAAATAACGATGAAAAATCTGCTGACTAATAAACTGCAAATCAATAATTAGGAGGTGACAGGAATTGCTTGAAGATGGAGTTTTTTCTGTGGAGAGCTCAAAAATACTCATTAGAAATTGCGTACATTCCTAATGGTTCTTTAGGTTAAAATGTTGATGTGGTCAACTATTTTAATTGCTACAAATATGTTATAGATTATAAAAACAGATTTGTGTTTGACTGTTATGATCTCACAGTCTTATTTATGAAATATTCAAGCTGGTTCAATGATATATTCTGGGAGGAAATATAAACATTTGCTGTGATTCAGCACCTCCCTCCCCCTAGTCTTAGGGAGCTCAGCATCAAAAGAGATTAGTGAAACCATGGACTTAAATTAAATGAACAAAATTAACATTGGAAGAAGGTGTAAGGCTTTTAATATGAAAATGATTATGGAAATGAAAATAGTTTGAAATGGCTTTAAGTTGAAGCTTGTAAAACCTTCATTTTTGGGACTGCCACAATTTTTACTCTGGCAAATAATATGTTTGACATATCTGTAAAATTTTTGTGTCTTCTAATGAATGTATGTTTTATTACAGTTTTTATATTGCAGCATTGTATGGCTTGCCAGAGAGCATCAAAAATATTTTCCAAGTTTAATGGATGTTTCTAATGGTTTAGGTACTTTTAAAACAATATTTCTGTAACATTTGCTTTTCAAATTTCAACTCAGTTGTATTTCATTTTCGTACTTAATGTTTCACTTGTAATTGAGAGATTCTGTATTTCAACATTTTGGAAAATTATGTTGGTTAAGACTGTATGTGTTTTAGTAATGCTTAAAGGCCTGTCTGCCCAGGAGTAAAACCTGACTGTGCTACGCAGAGTAGTTTAAAGTTTAACAAGACCAAGTACACATAAACAAATACAAATGTATATAGACATCTCTAGGCCACAATTTGCTTTGGTCAAATAAGAAATAAAAGTGAATCCATGCTTTGTTTCCCTTTACCAAAATATCAAATGGAATTCAGGGTCACGATGCACACAACAGTTTACAAATAAATCGTGATAACTAGCTGTTTTACCGTTTTTTCCTTGGAGAATAAAGTGACAATATGACTAGTTTCACTAACAGGCTTCTGTATCATAAAGGAAAGTTCTTTGTATAAGAGAGAGTTAGTAGAAGATGGAAACATTTCCTATGGATAGTGTGGTTTATCTGAAGTGCAAGCTTTTAATAGTCATAGATAATACTTATGTGATACTTGAATTCTATTTATTTTGTATGGTATTAGGTAACAGCAACACAGAAGAAATGAAATCCTGGAATCTTGCTAAATTATCTTAGAGTGGACCTTGAACTTCATAATTTGAGAGCTACAAAACTGGTGCCCTGGCAGCTCTGAGAAAAGCTAATATTTCTAGAAGTTTGTGTAGGTTTGTAGGCAGGACTGTAGATTGATATAAACTGTAGTGAGCAGGCAGATTCTGCCATGTCAAAAACTGGTTTTCAGGGTGTTCAGTGCAAACTTTAAAATGGGAACACTTAATTTTTATCCAGACCTGTTGATGGTAGAGTAAGAACAAAACAGATATGAAACTTTATTATTAGGAGACACTGGATAATCTGCAGTTAAGTGTCAATGTATGAAGTTAATAGACTGATGTAGAACCTTCTGCTTTAGATGCTTCTAAAGCAGAGGAGGTTGGACCTGCTAATTGTTTGCTGCTGATGTATACCTTGGCACTGCATTCTGTACCAAGCACAGGTCTGTCACCCTTTAAAAAGTTTTACTAGCTTATGAGCTGATTTTAATCAGCATAAATGATTACTAATCAGTTTAGTTAGATTTGTTCTGTATGCACTATGACTGCAAAATCTGTACATAGTAAAAGACAAGTTTACAATAAAACAGTGCTTGTGTTTATAAGGTTGGATAGAAATAATTTGCACACTCTGTATTCTTGGAAGTCCTTAATTGTCCATAATTGTGATCTCTCTAGTTCTTGACAGGACTTAGAAATCCATTAAAAAGAAAAAAAACCCACAGATTAGCTGCAAGGAAACTTTTTGTCTCCACACAGTTACCTGATCCTGTTAGCCTCCTCAGCCTCTTGAATGTGTTCTCTCCCATTCCAGCCAGCCTGGGATTTTATTGTGCAACTACCTGAAGAATTCTTTCAAAAAAATGTACTATATTGTGGAAAGAAAAGAATTGTAAAATTTATCCATTTTAAGAAAAACTTGAGAGGCCTGGTGGTAAGGTAATCCCTCCAGCTCTATAAAATGTACATCCCAGCGGATGTAAAATAGGGAGAAATGAAGAGTGTTACCTAGAAAGAGCATTTTCTCTATTTCCGAACATTCCAGTCCAAAACTGGGAGTGTCTGTTTACATCCATCCATCAGACAGACCACTGGTCACAGTGATTGTTCTGTGTAGTTGTTCCAGCTAGCTTGTTTTGTGAGGGACATCTCTATCCTTGTCCCAGTTATAGCTACTTTTAAAGTTTGGTTCAGGTGGCTTGCTATGAACTAGAAATATGCCCTTCAGAAAGTATTTCTAGAAACTCTTGCTAGAATAATTCTTAAATATGCAAAAGCCTTTCTGGAAATGGGTTGAGCAAAGTTCATACAAAGCTCTGCAAATGTCTGTCCTCCTTGTGTGGAATTACTCCAGTTTTGAACTATTCTGTTGCAGAGCTTTCATGAGAATTAATGTCAGATTAGC